TTATAATATCAATTGTAATATAAATGACAATATAAATTATTAAATAAAAAAAAGTTAAATAAAAAAGGAAGGATGAGATAACAATACTTTATCATCAAAATTCAAATTATTCAAAAAAATATATTCTTAACATTAGTATAGTTAGTTAATAGATATAAAATAAGAATTTATTTATATATTCATTATTGTATGATCTTTTTTTCATCATTAGAGAAAATATTAAAGATCACTGATCAACCAAAGATCAACTGATTATTTAATATTTTTATAATTGATTAATCGCGAAAATGAAATTTAACGAAAATACTTTGCACGCGATCATAAAATCAATCATGTAGTGTAATCTCTCAGCTGATCCCGTTATCGCATTTTGTCGGACAAATCTTATTTGTCATTAGCTTTGATGAACCGGCTTCCTGCTGATATATAAACCATAGGAATATAATGACAAATTAAATGAGAAATGATATCCTTTTTCTTCGTAAGAGATTGAGAAACGACCAAGTGTTACGAATTTAGAGGAAGTGTAATCATACGAATGTTAATTTGTTTTGATTTAAAGAGATAGTTCAAAGATCCGTTAGGAATAATTAGGACAATTGAAGATGGATAGAACTATTTATATGATCTTATGATTTTTCTTGTTATATAAACAATATATTTTTATTATTATGTTTGGGAAATTATATTTACTATAATAAAGTTATATTTATATATTTTATATTTACGTATCATTGTAAATCAAAAACTATAAAATATACGTTTTTGTGATGAAAATGACAAAACTTGATGTGTCATTTTTTAATTTTACAATTTATAATATATATAATTTGTTGTATAATTTGTTGTATAAGAGATATTATTTTTAGATTTTTTATTTTTTACAAATTATATTTTGTCTAGATACATATAGGAAATATATAGAAATATCTATTTAAATTATATGAATTGTATTTAATATTTATAAATCATATGATTTGATAACAAATATTCAAATTTTCTATAAATATTAATTTTTTATATTTGATTGAGTTTCTAATATATAAATATTATACATTTTTGAATCTTTTTTTAAATAGATGTAGAAAAATATCTTTAATAATCAAAAATATTAATATTAAACTCTTTCAAAGTGCAAATTTATTTACAATCATTTATGTATATAAGTATAATGTTAATAAATCAATTATTAAACTAATAAATTAAAAAAATATTAGGAAGAAATGAGGAAACAAAATATTTTTTTGACGGAAATTAGAATTTTACAAATTGAACAGTCTTTGATACGAGAAAAACGAGAAAGACAAATTAGAAAAGAATCAAATGTCACTCAATAAAGATAAGGAAATACAGAGTTTATGAGATAATAATTCACGTAACGATTACGAATCATTTCTAATCTATGGTCTTAAAGTTGAGCAAAGTCGGACTTCATTTGATATTATGTTTTTATCGCGTTAAATGGCAATAAAATTATTCGTGATATCGGAGAAACTTTTTGTGTTAATATATAAACGTTAATTATGTTTCATAGTTTATTTATTTTTTGTTCTTCTCGTTAAAAAAACGAATGAATTTCTATGATTTCATAAGACGATTCTTTAATATTGTCATTTTTGTTTTTAATGAAATTTAAAACTAAATATTGTCGTGATTTTTTTTACGAGTATTTTATACGCGATCGTGCAAAATAAATTTTGAATAGATAAAACGAGCAAATGTTGTTTAATGAATAAGTGCCAGAAAGATATTTCTGGACACATGAAATTTGTATTATGATAATATAATATTTTATATAAAAGAATAAATATACGAATGCGAAAAAATAAAAATTAATCAAAAATTACTTTTGAATGAGAAAACACATTTTATATTGAATATCGGAATATTTTTTTTCTTTGAGTTTTTACAATTGAAGATATATTAATTTCTGTATAATATCTCTTTACGTTAAATTTTCATTTATTCTATTATTATTCAAGAATTTTGATCAAACGATCAAATTTCCATAATTCCATATTCCATAAGATTTTTTTTTCTTAAAATTTTAAATATACTATATTTATTTTTATTATAATTTGCATTCATTCGTGTTTTATCACCAAATTAACTATTCAATTAGATAATTCTTATTAAAATGATACGATAAGTAATTAATATACGTATACATATATATTATATATCAGTATATATTATCATAAAATAATCCAAATAGCAATTTTTAATTGTATTGATTATTCGAGATTTATCAATCTTGAATTAATATTATTTTACCATTATTAACTTAATAAAATTAAATTATTTCTAAACAACATTAAGATAAGGAGTTAATATATTACAGGATATTAATAAAATCTGTGAGAATTTTGAAGAGTATAAATTAAACAAATATACAAAATTGATATAATTGTTATTAAATTGTTGATTAAGGCTATTTATTAAGTTATAAGCAATTGAAGTAATAGGATTGGAAATGAGATAAAAATAGAATATAATGGCGAGGTAGAACGGAAACAGAATGGTCTCATTCTTTTTTTCGTCCCATTTCATCTAACGTAAACTTCAATTGCTTATAACTTATAACAAAGAAATGCCAATAAATATTTTTTATATATTTTTGTCTCTAGAATCTATTCTTCAAAAAATACGTTAACATATTAACGTTAATATGTTAAATATGTATACATATCGTGAATTTCAATTATACGTTGTAGAGTTTATCGCAATGACGCGATGAAATACAGTCACGTGTGTATTAATGCTCTCAATTGGTCATTCTACATCGAACGATTCATATCAAACGATGCCCGAATACAAAATGGCGTTTACGATGTTACGATACTATGTGATAATATATAGGGATCGTGTAGGTCAATCCTTTTTGTTATGGCACTCTTTGCTTGACGAGCACTATGATAGCAGGTTTATATATAAACTATTGGCTTGGAAAATTTTTTTTCTTCGTACCTGGTATATCAGAGACCCAGTTTATTATTCTCTTACAAGCTGATGAGTTTCAAGCGTTTTACAGCAATATTTTATAATAATTTGTTTTTAGAACATTATTTTTAACTATTAATTAAATAGCATAATGTTACTAATGATATAATGACGTATACTTTCTTATATTTCTCTTTTACGTTTTCAAATGTATTCATATTAATAAGTTATAAAACATTGACATAAGCAAATAGATAAGTTGTTTAGATAAACTATTTTAAGTTTTATTAGATATTATCAAAGTCCAGATGTACACTAGAAGTTCATAGTACGAATATTCTTTTTCTTTTTCTTCTAGATTGCTTATATTTTGTATATTGCTTATCTATTTTTTTAAAATCTTCATGATTTCATTTTTTAGAATAATGATTGAGATGGATTATATTTATTTGATATTTCAATGATATCTTATCATTTATAAAATTTTATACGTAATATATAAAGAGTTTCATCTTCTTGTAATGTTATACTTTTTTAAAATCGTTTTAAGTTAGCTATCTGAAAAAATCTAAAATAGTTTTTAATTCATTGAAAGAACCAAATTTTTTTATGGAAAATCATCAAATTAATTGATTCCATTTGATGTGCAATTGTAAAAAAGTTATATCTTGTTAAGTTGCAACTTTTACAAAAAGATTTAAGATATTTAAGAAAAATTGAATGTCTTAATATCAGTAAATGTATCTACTAAATTGCTATCATACGTACAAAAAGAATTTAATATTATAATATTCTCATAAATATCTTAAAAATTATATTATATAATAAAATAAATAATATATTACATTTTTACAATAAATAATCTGCGTTTTATGTATTTCTTTTAAAATATTGTAATTACAGTTATAATTTTTTACAAATAAAAATATATAAGAAAAAAAAATTGTTTTTTATGTTCCCTAAATTAATTATATTTATACTTAATATGTTTATTTAAGAAAAAAAATAACGATTTCGATGTGTTTTTAACAATTGTTAAATTTAAACAAAATAAATATATTTTAATTTTTAGAATCTAAAAATTATTCTATTATTCTTGTAACATGACAATTATATATGTATTATTCTTATGAATTGTATTTAAAAATATCATGTGTTTGAACAAATTATTTTAAAATTTTTATAAATTAATTGATTTGTGAATTTTACAAATTTTATTTTTATTAATTTCGTCGTGATATTTTTCATTATTCTTCTATTTGTGTGATTTTGATTAATAAATTTATTCGCTTTTCAATTGCATCATAAAATTAAACTGCATTGATATTGGATTTATTATATATTATACATATATTTTATTAACTGGAAATTTGAATATAAGAAAATAAGTGAAGATAAAATAATAGAAATATTCTTTATCGTTTTTCGTTTTCTTCATAAAAATTTATATCATATTTTTTTTTTTTGAATTATCTTTTATTTATACTCATAAAAATATATCTATCTATTATATATCTATACATTAAATATATCATATATATTTTCATGTATTCTATAAGTAATATCTTTTACTTCGTTAAACTTAAGTTAGATCATAAAATATATAATTTTTGTAAAAATATTTCGCATAAAATGTTCTAAAATTGTACTCAACAATAACCAAATAAGTGAACAATGCTGCTTTATTATCACATAACATCTATTATTGCATATTATACGCATATTCGAGTAACTGTAATTTCATTACACGTTATCAAAAGATTTAGCTTCATTCGAAACGCTTATTACTTGCACTCAGTTCTACTTGAACGGCAAAAGTTCATTCGCACTTGTCGACGAGTTCATTTATCCTTGATAGAAAAAACCACACAGTTTATAATTATAAAATTATGTTTATTCAAATCTCTTATATTACAATTAATATAATTGAATTACAATCCGAATTACAATCTGCCAATATTTAATATCATACCAATCAATATTAATTTTTATAAATTATTAAGATCAAAATGAAATAAATGCATTATACTGGAATAAATAATTATTAAATGCTACGTAAATCGCTATGAATCGCTAATTTATTGTCAATTGTTATTTGAAAATATTTTAAAATCTAAATCCACCATTTACTCCAAAGTATGGTGAAAGTCTGCCACCAGGACCACGTTGAACTTCACTTTGTCCTCTGATGAAACCATTCTTATATTCTTTCCCAAACTCGAATCCGGCATGTTGTCGACTAGGCTGTCCAGGACGAATGTTTACTCCACCATAGGCGTCCCCTGTCATTCCATTCTTATCGTAGACACGATGTTTGTAGTCAATATCCAAGGATGGACGACTTCTTCCCTCTTTAGTTCCTTGAATAACGATGGATCCTCTGTGAGGATCATTCTGTCGTCGGAAACGAGTTGGAATCTGAGGAAAAAAAGGAAAATTTTAACGATTAATGAGGAAAAAAAAACTCGATTAAATTTAGGATTAATAAAAGGAATTTGAAATGAAGAGATGGTGTGTTGAGGATCATTTAGGATTGGTAGAAAGAAGAAATCAAAAGATAGTTAAAAGTAGAAAGATTTAAAGGATATTCGCTGCTATGAAAATTTTAAGATTCTTAAATAATTTTTTATTTTTTTTAATAATAATAATATTTCTTATACTTGAGAAGAATATGAAAAAATCGTTGTTGATATCCATACATTTTTCGATTTAGTAAACTTGATAATATATATTTTCCTTTTCTTTATGTTTAAAAAATTATTTATATAATCAATAGTTTATAATAATGCAATATTTGCATATAATTGCATATAAATGCATATAATTGTTTTATGTTTCAAATTAAAAGATTTTGAAATATTATTAGCGTAATATATTTATATTTATAATATTTTATAAGAAATTTTTGTTTCTAACAATTTTTTCTATGTAAGATATATATTTTTTTAGTCAAAAAATTATTATTCTTTTCCAAATTTTAAAACTTTATTATCAAATTAAAGAATTTTTTTTTTTTTCTTTAATCTCTTATTATATTATATATATCTAATTGTTCCACTATTTTCGTTATTAAATTTAAAATACTATGTTTTACATAAAAATTTCAAAATTAATTCAATAGAATGAAATAATGTATACTCACATAATCCATTGTATCCTCAGGTTCCAATTCTTCTTGAGCAGAAACGTATGCAATAGCGCAAAAAAGAACTAACACGATGAATTTCATCTTGGAAATTGTTTTTTTTTGTTCACTTCGAATTCTTAAGCACAAGATTTGTAATGATCTTGTCTGTAGAGCTGAATGATTTCTGATGTCACATTCGACAAAAGCTTCGATTTATATACAAATTTCACGTTGACATCTTTTTCCCTGTTTTCTTTGCGATATTTTAAACGGGAAATTACCGTCGGTTTCTTATCCGGTTCTATCTTTGTCTCTGCATATCTGCACTCGGGGAATTCCTCTGTACGGGTCATTAGGGGTCAATAATATGAACTTACATATAAAACTATATATTCAATTTTTATTTTTGTTCAAGATTTATCGCATTATTGTTATAAAATATAAATGACCTTATAATTTATATTTTTTCAATCTTTTATTTATTTTTTTTATTTATTTATTCATTTACGTTTGATTACGTTATAATATAATATAATAATATAATATAATATAATATAATATAATATAAAATTATTAATTTTAATTTTAAATTTAGCATTATTAAAATTACAAAGATTTTTTTCTTTCTAAGATTTTTAATATTTAATGTATTAATATTATATTTGATATTTTTACAAATTAATAATATAAATTGATAATCAATTTATTTGGAGATATTTATGTTACAATAATTTTTTATTATGTAATTTTAATCAAATATTTATGATAGTATATATTTATTTATTTATAAAAAACAAGAATAATTTTATACATAAAAATTTTTTCAATCTCTTCTAATATTTTAATTTTAATATATTTTATTGTTTTAAAATTAAAATAAAAATAGTTTTAAGAAATAATTTATCTATTCAGGATTATATATTATTTATATATTGTTTATAATACTTTATTTATTTATTTACAAATGATATCAATTATTGATTTGATTTTTAAGCGATGGAATACTAATGAAAATCTTTTCTGTATATAGAAAACAAATTTTTTCAATTATTTATAATAATTTTTAACATTTTTAACATATTTTAACATATTTCATTCAATTCCATCTCTTAAAAAATTGAAATAAATCTTTTCCCTCTCTTTTTCTGCAGCAATATTTATTATGATAATATATGTATTACATAGTTTTTTTACGTAAAATGTTCCTATCAATGCAATTTATGGCATTTTTTTCTTTTATTTATTTTTTTTTTTTTTGTTTTGTTTTTTAAACATGCTTTAGTTTATGGATACGAAGCATTATAGGCATCGAGGAACAATAGAAATAATATAAGCTAGCGTGTTTTCTTTCATGCACGGCCTTCACAATTCATACAATACGCATTCTGTTGTTCTTTGAGAACTGGGGAAGCCCGTGGAAAATATGATTACTTAGAATTTCCATATTCCCCGATTACAGTCTTTAATCTATGCGTGTAAAAAAATTGTTCACAATATCGTGATAATGGTCTTGAACCGAGCATAATTCTTGCGAAAAGTATATTTGTCATCTGCAAGAGATTAATTTAGTTCTTCCCCGCGAAATCTAATTAAGGAAATGATAAGATAACAAATACTTTTGTTTTTTTTTTGTTTATCAATAAGTTTATTAATTCATTAATCATTATTATCATTTTTTAATCATTTAATCATTTAATCATTTTTTTAATATCGATTATTTTATTTTATTTTTTACAAATTTCTAAAATGAATTATTAATAATATTATATATAATATTATATTTGATATTTCATTAACGATTTGTATAATAAAAATTTAAATATTTTTTCTATTGCCACAGACACGTATGTATAAATCTATTGAATAAAAATGTGATATTTATATAATATCTTTTTTCAAATTATAATGTTTTATGAAATTGAACTCTAAAGTAATTATTAAATCTCAGAAATGTTCATCTTAATTAATATTTTATTTAAGATATAAATTTTTATAAGTTATTGAATTGCATGTTCGTGCTATGAGAGAAATAATATTATATATATTATATATGCTATAATGATATTTTTTCAATTATCGATTCCTTGAAAAAATAATTATTATAATAAACTTTTTTTTAAATCTAATTATTATTAAATAACAAATTTGTAATTGAAATTAGAATAATCGATCTGAAAATAAGAAAAATTCAATTTAATTATAAATAAAATTATAAAATTTATATTATATGAAATATTTTCCTTACGCGAAAAATATTTAATATAATTTAATATTTAATATTTAAAGTTCTTAATGTATGCATTAATGGATTAAAAAATAAAATCGATTTGAAAATTATATAAAAATTTGATATTTTATAATCTCATATTTTTCATTACAATTGATCAAATTCATTGTTACATTGATTAAGTATGATAATGAATATATTTTTCCCGTTGTGTGCAGGTGAATTTTCTATTATCTCAAATCACAGCACTGATATTGGCTGGAATTTTAAGAACGTTTCTTAGTCCTGTTGCCGTAACAGCAACAACCAGACATGTATTTGGTCTCATCATCGGCCTCATGCTTGGATATTTTTGCTTCGGCAGGTAAACAATCCTACGTGAATAAAAACAGATCAATTAGTCTTCAAAAAAAACTTTAATAAGTAATGATTGGATACAAAATCATTGTTTTACGTTCATGTTATGCACAAAATATTTATGATTTATTATTGTATTAAATATTTTATTTTTAAGAATAAATATTATACAAATAATATAACATTTTTGTTGTAGTGTAACTATATATTAAATAATTGCATATTAAATTTATAATAAAAAATTCAGACAATTATTAAAAATAATCAAAATTTCATCAATTATTGAAATTCTATTGTTTAAAAACAAAAGATTATTATTATAAAAAAATATATAAAAATTCAAAATATTATTAACTGTTTTCATTTAATTTATTTTATTTATTTAAATATAACATTGTAACTGTATATTAATTTACATAATATTTAACTATAAAGCATATATAAAGCATATATTTTGAAGAAATATATCTGATTTATTTGTATATTATTCAGCAAATATTGTAAAAATTCATTTACAATATACGATTAAAATTATTTTTATCAATGTAGAGAATTAAAATAAAAAATATATTATAAAATTTCAAATTGTTTTTATTTTTCAATTTGTTTTTATGTTAACTTAATTTATAATAAATAATGTATAATTTACAATAAATTTGTTTTGTTAAAAAAAAATTCATTTTCAGGCAGGCGATACATCTTGCAGGCCTCCCCGCCATATGTTACGTTGTAATGCGTACACAAAATCCTCATAATATGCAGAGGCAAGTTTATAACAATTTATTCATTATGATTTATTTTTTATATTAGTTATCATAGACTTTACATGCTATAGAAATTTTTTACAATTAGATTGTAATATTCTTCTGTTAATAAAAAGAACTCATTAATATAGATATGTAGATTATATAGATATGTAAATTATATTATAATTATAAATATTTATTATAAATATGTAATTATTTACATCGCTGAAATTTTATAAATAAACATAGGCGAATTACACAATTAATTATTAAAATAATAAAAATATAAGAGTTTTATAATTATTGCAAATATTCGCTTGACAAATCTTATACTTGATCACTGCGTCTCGCTTTTCATATTATCAATCCAGTACATGTAAATATTTGTATATATTGTATTTCTTTCTTGAGATAACGATAATAATATTCTTTATTCTTTTATTGAAAAATATTATTTTATACAATGAAATAATAAGATTAATATATAAAACAAATATGATAAAAATATGAAAAAAATTATATCTTTATGCAATTTAAATTAATAATATTTGAAAATATGCACACATTTAAAAATATATAAAAATTTATATATTTTTCTATCATTTACAATTTATATTTAATTTACAAATTTGTTCCTTTTTTTCTTTTTATAATTCTATAATTTTATTATAATATGTAAAACTGAACATTTAACAAATTGTTCTATAAGATTTCAAAGTAATATTAAATATAATAGATTTTCCCTTAATTACATAATTTTAAAATTATGAACTTGCATAATTGAAATTGCATAAGTATATTTAAAGTTTTTGGAATATCTAACAGTACTATTCGTAAACATGATTGTGTTTAAATAATTTGATACTCTTAAATAATAAAAAACATATTTTTGTCTACATAATAAAAACATATTTTTTGTCTATATAATAAAAATCTTTGGTATTTCAATTTTTTACTAGTATTATTATTATTATTTATATAAATTCTACTTTAGTAATAATGATTACACTCTATAATTAAAATAAATAAAATTAAATGGATTTAATTATGATTTTATTGGTTAATAAATAGTTGTTACAGAATTTCAAATAATTTCTTTCTTTTTTTACTCTCGTTTTATGCAATAAATAAAAACTAAAGAAACACTCCTGTAGTCATTTTGACAAAAAATTTTATTATTTACCATTAAACATCAATAGGTGTTAAATGTTGAATTCTTTTCACATTTATTTTCACATAAATTATTAATAATAAAATATTCCTTGAACTCAACAATTTATCTTAGTAATACGTTTCAGGGTAGTGCTGACGGCGGCACTTCTTTATCTATCTTGTGTGCACTTTCATCGACAAATCTATAATTATGGTTCATACACTCTTGATATCACTGGTAAGTCATCGACTCGTATAATTTTTTAAAATCAATATGCGATTTCATCATACGAGATTTTATAATATTTATATATTTTTTTTTATCGTTTTAAATATCAAAGATTCTCAACATGTAATTTAAAAAATGATTTATATTTGTAATTAAAAGGGATGTTACATTAATTGCATAAAGTTGTTTACAATGTATTTATCATTCGATTTTGTTAATTCTTTGTTTCATATTTCATTTAAATTAATTTCTTCCTTTGACAATTCTTAATGATTTAAAATGATATATTCCAGTGTCTTCTAATCTTATTTGCGATCCTCATTTAAATAATTTTCGATTTATTTCCATATAATACAAGGAAAAAATTAACATGCGGAATAAGTAGTCATTGTCTTTGAATAAGAATCATTTTAATATTGCTATAAATAGTATTGTAATTATATTAGAATAAATAAATTATAAATTATTAACTACTTATTAAAAATATTTACTAAAAACTATTTTCAAAATATATCACGATTTTTTCTAATCTATTCAAATGGGACACTTACACATAAATCCTATAAATTTTCATTTTCGATTAATAATTCTGTTAAATAATTGAATTAGATTTTTAAATAACAGTAATTCATTAATTGATGTAATCGATTGTAATAAATAATTGTTGGTAAAATATATAAAAAAAATGAATAAAAAGAAAAAAAATAATTTATTTAAATATTTACAGTAGAATATTTTTTTAAATTTGTAATGAAACGTTAACTGATATTATACTTTATATGATATAAAAATATTATATAATATAATATAATATAATATAAAAAGAATTTATATTAATAAAAATGTTGTATAAAATACTGTATAAAAATGCTGTAATATTGCACAGCATAAAAACAAAGACGTAACCTTATAATAAAATTATTTTTCTAAATAAAGATCTCGTTACATCGTGTTCATTCCAGGACCACTTATGGTGATAACGCAGAAAGTAACCAGTCTCGCGTTCAGCATACACGATGGATTAACGCGACGTGAAGAGGAACTTACGCCAACGCAACGTCATCAAGCCGTGAAGTGAGTTGACATCTTTTTTAACCGGTCGTTTATTCTATGATATTAATTATTTAATACAGAAAACAAACATTATGGGGAAAAAACATTATCTCTACATGCATGATTTTCATTTGTATTCAAGGATGATCTGATCACACATATCTATTGCTCATATCTTTTTTATTTTCTTATTGTTTGGGATCAACTTGCTATATGCTTGATTTTTTTTTTTTCAGAAAGATTCCAACGATGTTAGAATATTTCAGCTATGTTTTCCATTTTCAAGCGTTGATGGCTGGACCAGTGATATTTTATCGCGATTACATCGATTTCATTCATGGACGTAATATAGGTGGAACGAAAGCTCTGACAGTTAGTTTTTTTTTTTAATTATTATTATCTGTATATTTTCTATTTAAAAAAAAAGAAAAAGAAAAGAAAACAAATTGAATTTTATTTTTTTTCTTTTAAGGGTTATGATAAAAATTCCACTCACTATGACGAAATAGTTCTAGAGCCATCTCCAACACCGGTTGTAGTAAAAAAGGTCATAATAAGCTTATTGTTCGCAGCTCTATTTGTGACTTTCATTCCATCATACTCGATACAAAAGCTAAAAGGTTCAACTCATATATTTTTTTAATATTTATTATCGCATCATATTGCCTATTCTAACAAAACATTGTTCTATTTGCAGAGGAAAATTTCTTAGAAAACACAACATTGTTTTATAAGATGTGGTTTTTATTAATAACTGCTATGCTAGCTCGTTTCAAATATTATCATGCATGGATTTTCGCAGATGCGATTTGCAATAACTCTGGACTTGGTTTTAGTGAATATGATAAGAATGGTGAAGCTAAATGGGATTTATATTCTAATGTTGATGTTAGAGGTTTCGAGGTAAGTTTAACAAAGATCATAACAATATAAAATATAAATATTTTAGAAATAAATCATAAATAAAAATACCATAAAGTTCGACGACATTATTGATTTTGTTAAACATTTTCGCAGATTTAAATGAATATAAGTTTATAAAATAATTTTATTTTTTAGATGGCTCTTACTTTAAGAGACAGTATTGAACATTGGAATAAAGGAACCAATAGATGGCTTAGATCGATTGTGTACGAAAGGGCAAAATACAATAAACTTGTGTTCACATACTCCCTTTCTGCCTTATGGCACGGTTTTTATCCTGGTTATTACATAACATTCGCCAATGGAGCATTTTTCACCATCGTGGCACGCACTGTAATTAAAGTTTACAATAATATCAAATTTAATATTTTAAATTATTAAGTGATTATTAATAAAGTTTTATTTATGTTTTTTTTTAAATAGGCTCGTCGTAACATACGACCATATTTCTTAGGGTCCAAGAAATTAAAGTTCCTCTATGATGCGCTTACGTTCATTTCAACGCGATTAACAATGGCCTACCTGACATTGAGCTTTTTAATCTTGGAATTTATGCCAAGTGTCAGAATGTACCTGTGAGTAATAATAATATTTTCTAATTTTAAAATATAATTATGATATAACTATATAATTATATAATTTTTTTATAGGCATTTATATCTATTTGGACATGTAATCGGTTTAATTATATTAATTATTGCACCACGTCTTCCGAAAATCTCACACACGAAAGTAATCGAAGTGGAATCGAAATCTTCTCAGGAATTAATCAACGGAACTGCGCGCAAATCAATGTGAACTCTATTTCGATGTGGCCAAAAAGTGATCATAAGAGATAAATATTTTTTATGAATGTTTTAATATGCATATAAATATTATGTATATATATTATATAGACGCACATATATACGTACAATATTTATTGTTGCGACGTGTTACTGGTACAAATTCTATGTCGAGAGTGTAAAAAGTATATTTGTTTTATATAAGTGAGTGATCGTATATTTATATGAGTGTCTCGTGCGTACATTGAGAAATCGACACTTAGCTGTTTTACAATATCGCTAACAAAAAAAGAACAAACGGAGACGATATACTAAATATTATAATTTAATGGATAGTCTTTTTTAATGTTGTCATGCTTTTTTTTTGTTCTTTTACTTTTATAACATTTATCATTAGAATATTTAATAGATGATGACATTCTAGTTGAACGTCACATAATTTTTATTCTAAGCGTTTGCAAGTAATTTTTGCAGTTTTATACGTTTAGTATATCTAATAATATCATAACTAATTCAAAATAAATTGCAATGTTTATTCATGAAACGTTATTCCGAGCATTTTATTAATGTTAATACAAATATTCGTTTAAAATATAATTACAAAATAATGATACGATGCTCGGCCCTTAGGATATGAATACGTAAGTATCAAATACAAATTAGTGATTTAGTAAAAATTTAGAAATCAAATTTAGAAATAGTTTTCCAAATCATTTTGTTATTATCAAACTTTTCTTCCTTTAAAATTGTATCCTATGTTATAAGATAAATCCAACCTTTGAATTCTTTTATAATAACTTCCAATTAATTGTACAATTATCAACAACTGTAGGTAAATTCTAAATTTTATGAAATTGACTAAAATTGCAATACAACTATAAGGATAATTTTTATTATCTATATTCAAATTGATGTGATAATAAAATTCCACCGGTTAACTATAACTTTTATACGAAAGATATGAAAATACATTTATAGCTGAGTAAAATTCGATAAATAAAATTATTATTATGCCTCACGTGCCTCTATATTCCTATATAATTATATATAGGCATAATTTGAACGTTTACTAAAGTTTTGCATGACTATTTTCATTCGCTGCCTAATGGAATATTGTCCTTATAATCGGGTAAAGAGAAGCACTGAAACTGACGGCACTCCCGAAGCCCTAGTACATAGGGTGGCAGCGGCCACTTAGCTAGTAAAATTTTCAGTGCAATCATCGCGAGCTACGATTGATGAACTGATAGTGTTCTCTTGGTCCAAGGAAATATGGTAAATCTTCTATTTATTGTTTAAATCGTGGATGTGCAAAGGGCAGTGAAACATTACGGAGTATTATTTAAATTATGAAAAAGAGAAAAATAAAAAATTTGTGTGGCATCAAGAATCTAATGTGTTCATAATAAAAGAGATATTGAATATAAATAAAAATTGAATGAAATAGTGATATCACGTTAAGTGTTTTTTTTCTTTATTTTTTTTTTTTTTTCCTAAAAAAATATTTGACCTTTGCACAACCAGGAATATAGTGTTTAGTTGATAATTAGTTTGTTGGATGATAAGATATAAAATATTTCTAAATTGTATGTTTATACTAAATTTTTGGATTCAATTTTTAATTGTCAGTTGAAGAAAAATTTTGTTTAGCGTATATATAATGCAACAGAATCGACGTTTTCGAAAGAAAGTACAATAATATGATACAAATCCAATTTCTTAAGATATGTTGATTTTTGTAAATCTTTATTAAAATCTGATATAAATTTTATTGTATAAATAATTATATAAATAGTAATTTCTGAAAAATATCACAGTTTTCTTTATTTTATTTTTTTTTTTTTTTTTAGCATTTGTAAACAAGCATCCATAAGTTTCCTTTTAATTTATTAATATTTGTTAATTAGAAATAGTTTTAGTTCTGTAGTTTTAGTTTTGTGTCATTAAAAAATAAAATTTCAAAGAAATAAAAAAATAGTATAAATGTATAAAAAAAAAATGTTTTCCAAAATTTTTTGCTACTATATTATAAGTTTAAGATATTAAAAATAATTTTGAATCTAACATAGCAATTAGCAATATTTTTATCCTTAAAATAGAAATAAAAAATGATTTTTTTATTAATTAAATTATATCGTAATATTTTTTTTGCATTTTCTAAATTCAACGTAATAGCTATTTTTACGAAAATATAAAAAAATCTTTCTATTCAAATTTTCAAACAACTTCAATTTCTTTGATTTTTTTATACGTATATTATCATTTTCTTTATCTATTTTCCATATAAATTAGTTATATTTTTAGAAAAAAAATTCATAATGATTGATTAAGAAGGAAATACTTTACATGGATATATATGCAAAATTGGAATACATTTACATTAATTTTGAGAAATGCTGAAAATTATCATAGATTGTGTTATTATTTTTTTAAATTTATTTGCTCATAAGAAACAAATATCAAGCGTATTTTTCTATTGATATAAATGTTATAATATCGTTTTTAAAATTAATAAAAAAAATCTAATAAATTATCTAAACAATTTTTTTATTACCATATTAATAATATACTATGGATATATATATATATATATATATATATATATATATATATATGTAAACCACATGCGTCAATATTATAATAATATTAAAAAGATTAGACTATAACTAATAATTGGCTTGTTTGTGAAAAAATGATTATATATGACGAATGTATATGGTTTTCCTTCAATCAAAAAAAATAATTGACGTCATTGTGGAATTAAATTATTACATTTAATGAGATAATATATTTTATAAAATTAAATTTCTTTTATAAGATAAATTATTTAAACTCAATAATAATTAATAGTTGTACAATTAAATAATTTATTTAAACATTTTGATATTTAAAAATGAATATTTGATATTTATAAATGAAAATGATCATTTATATACATAGAAATATATATATAGATATTATTGAAATTTATTTGTAATTTACGACTGAATATTCGAATAATTTTAAGTAAGTGTATATTAATATTACTATATACATAATATTACTATAAGAAAAAAAAGTTAACGAGTTGAAAATTCGAAATATTAAGATTTAAGCAGAAAAAATATTTATTATTATTTTAATTATTATACCATTACAGAATTTGAAAATAATAATAAAAATGGGTTACGTGCTGGTCATTTTTACTCTATTATTGATGATGTGGGCATCCTTGGCTCGGATGCACGAGCTTCCAGTGCAATATCCACCGTGTTTCTTCAACCCCCTTTGCACTTGCTCGAAAGCCATTCCTGATTTGGGTATAGTGACCTGTTACAATGTACCAATGCCGCGAATACCCCTGCCAATAAATTCTTCCAAAGTGTTTATGCTACAATTGGAGAACAATGGATTGATGTTTTTGCAACCACAGTTTCTCATGAATACAGGTATATAAATCGAGAAAAATTAATTAACAACGCGCGAAATAAAATTTTAAAAGAATTTTTTTTTCGTATCAAAATTAATTAATTTTTTTCACAATTTAAAAATAATCCAAAATGTAAATTATTCATGATCTCGTTTCATTATATTATCTTATACTAGAATTTTGGAAAAGATCATCGATCAAAGAAAAGAATAATACGTATAGGGATTAAAGAGCAGTGACCGTGTATCGCCGATTATGTTATTGTATTCTTAGGGTAGGATGCAATTCTTACGTTTACGTCATTCTCCTATCTCTCAGGTCTGTACAAACTACGAATCAAGCATAATCCCTTGGCTGACATCCCTGACGAAGCTTTCCTAGGGCTTGAGAGATCATTATGGGAGCTCGAATTACCCTACAATCGGCTGGAGAAAATTCCTAGCAAGTCATTCAGACATTTGCAGAAATTACAACTTCTTGATCTAACAGGTATCTTCTTTTCTTTTCTTCTTTTTTTTTTTTTTAATATTTTTATATATAATCTTCGAAAAATTCATGATAGAAAATAATAAGAAACATTATTTGATCGATAATGGAATAATATGAAACCTTTGTACATATCGAAAAAAATATATAAAAATATCATTAGATGACAAAATGAAAGAATCATTTATTAAATTCAATCAATGAATATGTGTCTACTGCTCAAAAAATTAGAACTATTTACAATTTTCAACATTTCTTGTAATTTTTAGTAAAATTTAAAATTTTTTAAATTTCTGAACGATATTTGATAATAATTAATTATCATGTAGCAATATAACTCTTTTGATATTGTCCAATTTATATTAATTTATTGCAAAAATTTTAAATTTTAAAATTTAGTTCTTTTTTTAAACACTCTCACTTAATTCTGTCTTAATCTCTTAACAAATCAAGAAAGATTAATCCAATTCAATTATTCATTGTTCGAGATTCGAGATCCAAATGTTGCATTGGTTCAATCAGTTATCATACAAATTATAAGTGATATTTTTATCATATACAGAAATTTTATCGTTCATACAATATACACTCCATTATAAAAAAAAAAAGATAAAATATTATAAATGATAACATTAATATAATACAAATTATTAAAATTTGTAATTAAATTCCGTTCAGACTATTAAATTTTATTTAAAAAATTTTATTTCACAATTTAAAAATAATCCAAGCAATATTGAAGCGAAGCAATATTGAAAACTGCGAGTAATTCTACTCTTTTTGACCAGAGACTGCAAATACAAGAATTACAATTTTTTTTTAATTATATATATCAGCATATATATAGCAGCAAATAAGTGATTAAAAATGTAAAAGGAGAGAAAAAACACGAATGATTTCAATTTCCTTTGTATAGGAAACAAAATATCAAAGATCGCCTCAGACAACTGGCGTGGTCTCGAGAATTCCTTGCAAAAATTGCGATTGGGACGTAATGCAATTGACAAACTTCCAGCAGACGCGTTCGCGGGTCTCACTTACTTGGATATGCTCGATCTACGTGACAATAACTTGAAGGAAATCGATCCTTCTGTATTCAGAGATGGCATGGCGCATCTGATACATCTGTATCTGAACGGAAATCAATTGACACACATACCTTACGCGCAATTATCGTCATTGAAGCGTATGAAAGTGTTAGATCTTAGTTATAACAGGATATCGAAAATGTTGAACCCCCAATTGGAGTCAGAAATCAAGGGACTTCAAATGTCTCTCGATATATTGCGTCTGGATTACAATCAAATCGAGACTCTGATGTCTGGTGATTTTCAGCACTTTTTAAAAGTCAACAAGACTTATTTGGATGGTAATCCTTTAACGATGATCGAGGTAGGATTTCCGAAATATTATAATTTTAAGTTTGTTCGAGTAGATAATTTTTAAAAAATTTTTGATTAAATTTTTGTATTTTAAAAATTTTAGAAATTTGTTGTCTTTGTTTGCTTATTCTAGAAAACACGAATCTTATTAGAAATTTGAATCGTATATTTTAGGAGGGTACGTTTAGGGATTCGAGAATACGGGAACTTTATTTGAGTGATTGCGATCTGTTGGAGGTCGATTCATCTAATTTCGTTGGTTTGGAATCGTCTCTCGAGTTGTTGGATCTCTCGGGAAATAATATTACGTTACTTCCAAGTCCTATTTTCCAAGAATACGATTTTCTACGCACTTTAATCTTCCGTGAAAACAAGATTCAAACCTTTTCACCGGGTAAAATAATTTAAAATTATTTATATAATTCTGCAAATAATTTACTTCTTTCAATTCTATTATAAAATTTTCAAAATGTTTGATGATTTGCTTGATATCTTTAAAATTAATATAAATTTTAATCTTTGTATATTTATATATGTCGATTCTATATTTGTTATTAGCCGAGGTATTTAATGGTTTCCAATATTCTTTGTATAATCTGGATCTAAGCGGGAAAGAAAACAGCGTGGTGTCACTTCAAGATCTACGACAAATGAGGAACATGCGATTCCTTTCTATCTCACGAATACCAGAGTCGACGTTATCTCCAGATAATTTTATGGAATACGGGATGGATATCAAAGAGCTTCGTATTGTGAAAAGTAATCTGAACACCATCAAAAGTCATGCTTTCATGCATGTACGCGGGATCAAATATCTGGATTTCTCCGAAAATTCGATATCCACAATAGAAGACGAAGCTTTCTCCGAGGTAATTCCATTTGCTTTGCAATATTTTCTTTCCAAAGGGTTTGAAATTCAAGTATATAAAATGATATTATTGAGTATTATATATACTATATATAATTGTTTATTCTTTTTTTGCGCTCTCAAACTACCAACTTGCTAACCGAGCAACCATACAAAATCTTAATCCAAGGTTTAGTTAATTTAGCTTAATATTTAATTGAACTAGATTCGAATCGTATTCCCAAGTTAAAGATCCATGGATAATTCTAATAAAAGGCTTCTATTATAAAAAATTGTATAGAAAAAAATATAATAAACATATACATATAGTGGAACTTCATATTATTGGAATTTTTATTATAACGAATTAATTAAATAAGATTTTGTTTATTATTATATCACTTAATATATCACTTAAACGAAAAATTATAGTAGAAAAGAAAAAAAAAAGAATAAACTTTCATTTCTCGTCAGTTTCATCTGATTCAAATTTCCTCAGGTCGGCCATTCGCTTCTAACATTGAGAATGTCTCACGCTCTATCTCCTTCCGTTTCTGAAATACCGAAAGCGCCATTTAAATTCCTGACGAATCTACAACATTTTGATTTTAGCAACAATAAAATTAAATCACTACCGGACACGTCTTTTCATTTTCTGAAGAGGATTAAACGAATGGAATTGCAGGACAACGAAATCGACAGTATCAGAAAAGGAACTTTTCAGGTACAGATTATGTGATTTTTTTTTTTTAATTTGTTGTTCGATTCGATCAAAATTATTAATATTACGTTTACTAATGTTGGTAAAAATTAATTCAGGGTGATATACATTCCTATCTGGAAGAAGTGAATTTCTCGTTTAATATGATTAAAACGATCCAAACTCATACGTTCGTCGACCTGCCAAAATTAACTATGATAAATTTAGAGGACAACGCTATAGATAAAATCGAAAGGCGAGCATTTATGAACATGAAACTGTTGAAATATATTAATTTGCGAGGCAACAAAATAAAGGATATCACGGATGAAGCCTTTCAGGTAATATTATTCATTGAACTTACTTTATGTAACGTTTTACAGTAATATCGAATTAAAATTGTAATTATTTAAATTGAAGAATTTACCTGATCTGGAGTATCTCGATCTCGCGTATAACGATCTGACCGAGTTCGATTTCGCTTCGTTCGATCAAGTAGGAACGTTGTCGTCGTTCAAAGTGAACGCCAGCCATAACGAAATTCCAAAATTATGGATTAACAGTACCACATTCACGCCACCGACCACCAGTAAGTTTATCGTGGAATTTCTTTGAACAAATCATGTTTAAACGAATTTTTTGTAAATTTTATAAATGTTAGAAATCGGCACGAATGTTGTTTTTTAATTATAAATCTTGCATCGAATCAATAGTACACGCAAATATCAAACATACGCATGGATTAGAACTCAAGACTTACATACAGTTAGAATTTTAAGTAAGTACGTAATTCAGCTAATTTCCTTTGCAGTCGGCGGAACAATTCAATCGAACATCAAAGTTCTCGACCTCAGCTACAACAATATATCCGATATAATGAAGTATTATTTCAAGCCAGTGGAATTCTCGTTAACACATCTCTATTTGGCTCATAACCAATTGACCAACATAACTCAAGGTGTCTTCGGAAATATGCCACACTTGCAATGGCTCGACGTTAGTCACAACGAGCTGATGGAGATCGACTTCGATTGCTTCAGAAACACGAAAAATATCCAAGTGCTCTTTCTTTCTTGGAACAATATCATGGACATTCCAGCAGAGGCATTTAGACCGTTGAAGAAGCTAAGGATTATTGATCTTTCTCATAATAAGCTGAGAACATTGCCGGATAATATGTTTTCCGAAGCTAATATCGAGAGTTTGGATCTGTCTCATAATCAATTTATGAGATTACCCACAAAAACCATGTCTATCTCAGCGGCTGCCAGTTTATCTATGTTGGATTTGTCTTGGAACACTCTCTCGGGAATCCATACTACTGACGCCATATTTAGATTACGAGTCAGTTTGATATATTCTAGAAATAAAATTTAATTCATGAGCAAAAAGTCAAATGAATAAATTCGATTTCATACTTATAAATTCACTATAAATTAACTTTTAAATAATTTTATTATCTTGTATTTGTTTTCTTGAAAAGTATAAAGTGTTAATATATTTGTGGAATATCTTCGAAGAATTGATTCTAAAAGTTAAAGTAAACAAAAAAATTGATACAAACGAGAGACTTATTTATTAACTATTGAAGTTAGATGAAAACGAAAATAGAATGAGATAGCTCTACGTCATACAGATATTTTGCTTTATCTTTGTCTGGTTTCCATCCAATGCAAACTTAAATTTGCTTATAACTTAATAAATAAATATTTTTGTAACAACTTTTGTATTCGTTTTAACTTCTAGAACTTAGAGTCGATTCTCTGAAGAATCTTATGAATATATTAGTATCCTCTATATGTATAACTTAGAAAAATTTAATCGTTAAACTTTATATTTTCTTAAAAAGAAATAAGTCATTGTTATAAATGTATAAAAGTGATATTTGCATTTCTTTAAAATTAATTCTTCACGTGTCAAAACATAAAAAAGCAATTCGAATTTCTGTTCATTTCAGAGTTTGACATGGTTAGATTTGTCTTATAATCGATTGGTCAGGCTCGACGATGGGATATTCTCTGATTTATCATATTTAACTCATCTAGACTTGAGTCATAATAAACAATTACTTTTGGAATCACGTGGAAGAACATTTCATGGTTTAGAGGACTCGCTTTTATATCTTGATTTAAGCAACATTTCGCTTTTAAGTGTATGTATTATTTAAATATATATTTATTATATCTTTATTATATATTATATTCATATTCACTGAAAATAATTTGAATTTAAAAAGAATCGTAATTGAAAAGAATATCTATATTTTTTAAAGGTGCCAGAATTGCCATTAAGACGATTGCAAACGTTGTACTTGGCACACAATGAGTTGGCATCGATACCACCGGAAATGGCATCGAACTTAACATCTCTTCACTATTTAGATCTGAGTGCCAACGATCTAACAGTGGTGCCATTGATCACGCATACCCTACCTGAATTAAAAACTTTTAATTTGGCCGATAATCCAATCACAGCTGTTACTAATACTAGTTTCTTAGGTATCGCAGATAGCCTTGAGGAATTGGATATACGACGATTATCTTTATTGACATTCGAAGTAAGTTTTTTACATCGAAAAAATTTAAATTTAAAATGATAGAATGATAAAGTTAAATTATAAAATTAAAATATATTATATTTTTTTCTATTGAAATCAAATTTTTTTTTCAAACAGAGCGGAGCACTTTGTAAAGCTACAAAACTTCGTAAGTTATATATAACTGCTTACAATGGTGTAAAAAATTTCAATTTTCCCAACATTCTTGAATACAATCACGGTTTAAGGCATTTAGTCATCGACGTACGTGTGAAATATTATAATAAGAAGCTATTTTTTGCTATTTTAAAATCTTTTTAAAAAGTATTAAATATTAGCATCGATTAAAATTTTTTATATATTATTATAGGTACAAAATGACACGAATTTGGAAAAAGAAATGAAAGGGAAGTTTCCTAATAAATTATTTAATATTACGTTGACAGGTCGAGCATTAAAAAATGTAGACTCGGATATATTGCGAGTATGTATCTAACTGATTTTTTATTAAATATATTCTTTATTATTAAATATATTCTTTACTGAACAAAAAGACAAAAGACAAATTTAAAAATATTGTAATACTGTAATAAATTATTAATTATTAACTCAATATAATTATTAAGTTAAGAATTATAATCAATTAATTAAAAAAATTGATTTTCATATCTATCCTAGGGTATAAGAAATCCACACTTGCATTTTGGAATGTACAATACAAGTGTGAACACCGTGCCCAAACAAATGTTTGATAATGCAGAATGGGTGAGGAATGTGACAATTCATCTTCGCCACAATGACGTGCGAACGCTTCACAATCCATCTAATGGATACAAGCCAGGCGTGCCAGGAAAACGATTTCTGTTAAAACTCACGGTGAGAGGAAGCTACTTTACTTGTGACTGCGACATTGGGTAAGTCATTAACTCTGTTATTAATTTATGTATATAATTATGTATATGTATGTAATATATATATATATATTATTTCTTAATAATTATTATATATACATAATTATCAATATTATAATATCAATTAATAAAATAAACTTTTCTTCGTTCTAATTACTTATTTTTAATATTTCTAATACTACTTTTAAGTTTTCGAGAAAAAATATTTTTTATAGATGGATGGAAACCTGGCAAAGAAAACATAGACAATATCAAGAGGATCGTTGCACTACCTATAGTGAATTTAAAAATATTGAACGAGATGAAGAAGATGATGAATTCGATTGCTGGGACAATGGTTGGGATGATGATTTACGCGAATCATTTTGCTTAAATAAGAATAATATGTCGGTATTAGAAGCATTGAAAACAGATATTGAGTGTGGATGGGGAACTGCGACTTATATTCATACATCTCATTATCTCGTCTTTCTTTTCGTTATTTTTGCAATGATTATTTATTAGATCTTACTTTTTACGTATTTGTATTTTATGTTATTACAATCATTCAACATTCCTTTCCTCGAAATGCATAATAATTTAAAGTGCAAATATGTGATTTATCATTTATTAATGTAAAGTTAACCTCTATTCTATTTTATTCCAGAAAAAAATAATATATCGTGAATATGATCAAATTTAATTAAATTAAATTTGTCAATAGATATTAATTGCAGTTATATTTTGTGAATATAAATGATCATGAAGTTATATTATTACATATATTAAAGTATTATTGAAATATTATTAGTAAATATTAATATTTATGACATATTTAATTAACTGATAGGTTAAGTATATCGTTTTAATTCCTTATTTATTTATCACCGTTAATAATAATTTTTTATTGATGAAGTGTATATGATTTAGTGATTAATATTAATATGATTATATTCACGATTGTTTATATTTAATATATTCTCTTTCAATAGAATTATTTTATATTGAACATCAAACATTTATTATGAACATTTTTTTAACATAATGAAATAGTTTTAAATTGAATTTGCACTTTAATTAAATATATTAGAGGAAATACAAATTTTTGCACATCCTTCCGTTTAAAGCAGCACGCTTCAAATCAATGAGACTGTTGGATCAATTGTTCAGATACTCGTACAAAGTGACTGATTACGGATCGATCGTACTAAAAAAACATTTGATATGTTTTTTCTTTTGATATATACGAATCCGTTGCATTAATAGGAATTGAAGTTTTATTCTTTGTTTATAATTATTAGCGCATTTGTTGCAATTGTTACTACAATTGTTAATACAATATATAAATATCATGTAATAACAGGATTTTTTTTTCATATTTTATCATTGTCAAACTAAGAACTTGTAAAAGAAAAAAAAATTAGGCTATAATATCTTTAAAAAAGTGAAGATTAAACAAAAAATATTTTCGAAATTTTAAACATATCTATTTATTTATTTATATTTCTCTTTTATGATTTTCCAAAAAATCTTAGTTTGACAGTGAAAATATTTAATATCTTTCATAAATAATTAAAAACAAAAAATATCGAATGTTTAAAAAACTGAATATCTATGCATGATTATTAAGATTTCAAAAAGTAATATTATTAATTTTAAAAATTAATTCGATAGCAGAAATTGTTTTATTATCTGTTTAAAAAACAGAAATATTTCCTTTAAAATATATGCTGTTGATGCATTTTTTAATAAAATTACACCGAATACTATAATATATGCTTTTATTATTTATAATATTCTATCCTCAAAAATATTATAATAATATGCAAAAAAAATGATTTAATTAAAAGAAAATTATATATGAATATAAAAATTTCAAAGAATACATACATATGATATTCTTTACAAGATTTTGATAACAATAAGTTAGAAAATAAAACTAAGCTTGATCTAAAGATAATATAATGAAAATTTTTTAATTATACATGTATAAACAATTCTCAATAATTATAGTTTGTAATCATTCAATTATACGTAAATATTATTTGCCTTTAATAATAAAACATAATCTTTGCTACTATATCAAATACTATGTGTACAATCGGTAAGATAATAAAACCGAATATAAATAATAGACATATGTAAACACTGAATAATTCTGTTATAAATATTACACATTGAGTCATCATTTGCCGGAAGTCCTTACAGTTGTTTATGCTAATAACTTTGTCCAGAACAAATCGCAATAAATATAGGAATACCTAGAAAATGTGATTTTATCGTTTTTATCATTTATACATATATATTTAAGTATTAAATATTTTATAAATATTTAAATATATATTAAAAATTTACAAATAATTGTAAAAAAAGCATTACAAATTTTTGAATACTTTTTTTTTTAAATATTGGATTTTTTTTTATTATTTTTGAAATTAAAAAGTATTTAATTTTATAATTTAGAATATACATATGTACATAACTCATTAGTTATGATATAACCATTTATTGAAATGAAAAATTCATGAAAAACTATTAATAAATTATGAATTAAGATTTATCATATACCACTCAAAATAATTAAGATAAAATAAAATAAAAGTATAAAATAGTTTATGAAAAAAAATATAAGTACAATATATTATTTAATACTAGGAAAAATGTTTGAGAAAACATATTTTTAATTATTTTGAGCAGTGCAATTAATCAAATTCAATATAAAAAAATTTATAATAATTCAATTATTAGATAATACCTCCATAACAGGTATAATGTTCAACATGACGTACAATAATGCAAGAAGAGATCGACCTGTTGCTCGACCCATCATACTAATAAGAGCCAGAAAAGAATATTCTGTTCGTGGAATACCACAAGATGCTTGATAATTGACCAAATATTCACGAAAATTATACAAAATATTTTTGTTGTTATCAATTTTTGAAGGAACTTTGAAACGACTGTCTTTGTCACATAAATCACGTAATAAATTCGTAGTAAAATCATTTTCTTTAAAAAAAAATAAATTTAATATTTAATACATTGACATATTTGTTTTTTTAATAAAAGTTGTGATTAAATTTTATAACATTTACCTGCAAAGTTGTGTCGACAATACTTCGACCTATCAAAATCGGAAATACTATAAGGATTTTTCCATTTCCATTCAGTAGGTTCTTGTATATTTTCTATAGAATCTTTTATAAATTTTTCATCATATTTCCAATCGCCTGATTTTTCATCTAAATTTCCATCTGTTTTTGACTTCAATTTTTCCCCAAAAGATGAACAATGATCACATGTCAACGAATTTATCGTGCATCGTTTTCTTATTCCACATTTTTCTCCTTCAAGAAACTATTTAAACGTACAAAAAAAAAAACAAATATATATATATAATTATATATATATACATATATATATAATTTATAATTTTTTTTATTTTTAAGTAATTAAGATAAACGAGAAATACAATTGAAAAAAAGATAAAAAAGATAAAAAAAATATATATATATAAATAAAAGGATATCTATCTGGATTATATTATTTTTCATTTACTTGTTGATTATGAAAAAGACATTTATTTTCCAGATGCAATTTCTCATTATAATCAGACTTTGGTACAAAATCGAAATTGTTCTGGTTCTGTGAATCGTTCATATTCAAGAAGCAGGATACACGATTGATCGTAGATTGATCACTTTCAGTACACATAATCCTGATTTTTCTTTTAATACGGCACAATACATGTACAATGTAACACCAGTTATAATTTGTTCTTCTTGATCGTAATAGCGGCGTAAATATTAATTAATTTTCATTTCTATTCATCCTGAGAGGAGATGTTTGCTTTGAAAATGAAAATACGATGAAATTATCAATTGCACCTAATATCACTTGACAACATAGTATATATACGAGATTCATTTAAATTCGATTATTTTTGGTTTCGTACATACAGATTTCTTATGTTCCTACACATTATTAAAATAAATAGCGCACAAATTTACATACTCGTTAGAACTTTATTTTATATATTGTCATGTGACTAACAATAAGACAACCGACAACATAGAGTAGTTTTTTAAGAAAGCCGCTGATTACAAACGTTTATACAAATTCATTCCCAAGTGTTATATGTATACGTATCTATATATATTCATATATATAAGGTGTATCGAAAATCATGATAAAAGTCAAAAAAGGATGATTTTATGTGAAAAAATTTTTAAAGACTTCGTTTTTGAGAAAATCAAGTTTGGAATATCTTGTCAAGTACTTTTGTTAAATAAACTTGATTTTTTCGAAAACTTAGTTGTATAAGAAATTGTTATTCTACATATTGGATATACTTTTATACAATAAACAACCTCATTATGACTTATACCACGACTTTCAATACACTACACATATATATTTGATACTTATGTATCAAGATAAAACGTGATGTAAAAACAAAGAGTTACATACAAACATGAAAGAAAAAAGATTTAGCAATCCTGATTCTGCTTTTTTTTTTTGCAATATATAAAATGTCTTGTGTACAATGACGATAAACGTCAAAAGGGGTGTTTCTCGGCTTTTCCTTGCAGCATCGAGTACCAACTATAGGATTCACTAAATCTATGATACGTATATCTCTACAAATTCTGACCGATTATTCTCGGTCCATTTTCACACTCATCACAGTCGCGCATCTCACTATTATTTTTAAGCTGTATGCATTTCATTATGCTGCATCTCTTTCTGTTTTTACGATTAAAATTAATGAGATAAATTGTAGCAGCCAATTTGTAAAAGCTAATTTGGAAATGAAATGAAATATTCTTTTCTCATATTGATAATAAAGTGCAGAAAAAGTGCAAGTTATGAAACAACTTGGCAAGACTTGTTGAAATGCGTTAATTTGCTTTGGCGCCTTAATAACAGAGGTGCAAGAAAATTTCAAAGCATATTATCGCAAAAATTTTGTATTATTTTTTTGTAGAATAATTCTAGTTTTTTAACTTGCAAAATAAACATTGGAGGACAATGATTGCGAGGTATTATTAGAGAATAATTTTTTTCATTTTTTTTTTCAAATTATTTTACGAAAGCAGAATATTTCCACGCGTTTGCATAAATTTCGAATAAATACATCTTTATAGCAGGGCAAAAGGATAGAATTTCGAACTCTTAATTAGAATTCAATATACTCTGAAAGACTGGGGAAAGATATCAAAGCTTTTATACACACTTATAACATGCCAAAACCTTTCGAATAATTGATTGCTTTTAACAGACGATCTTGTAATTTTTCTATTGTACTGTAATCTGGTAACAATAATACATTGTAGCATGTGTGGGCTATTGGTAATCTAAAATATAATATGTGATATTTGTTATACAATTCAATTAAAATAAATATAAAATTATAAATTTTAGCTATTACATAATTAAATATGAATTTAAATTTATTTAAAAAAATTTACCTGTCAGAATCTGGACCATGTCTAGCAATAACCATTTTTAACCTTGATAAACCACCAACTGGCACTCTATCACTTCCAGTAGTAAATTGAAGAAGTCTTCGTTGACTTTCCGGTGGTAGTGAATGTGCTACGCGCCAGAAGTTACGTACTGCTTTGCTATCAACAGTATAACCACCTTCATATTCTGTAGCGGCTTCTAATTCCGCGAAATCGAAAACTTTGCTA